GGGCTCGAACTCACGAACCGTGAGATCATGACCTGATCTGAAGTCGGACGCTTAACCGACTGACCCACTCAGGCGCCCCAACACAGGGAACATTTCAGTCAAGAAAAATGGCTGAGACTTGGTAAGAACAGTGAGTTTGGTGGAGTTTTAACTGACGCTAGCCCCATCTCTCAGCTCAGCAGCAACCTTGAGAAATGAAGAGTGACTTTAAAAACGTACTGGAGAGCAGAACAGAGCCAGAGGCCTTCCAAAGCTCCTTCCCAGAGTCATTGTTGGACCTGGCTGGGGCTTCCCCAGAAGACCCCACTCAAGAGGCTTATCTTCCACCTCTCTTGACCTTGCCCAGGGTCAAAAGCTCTCTCTGAGGAGGATCTTCCCAGTGATGTAATGTCACAGCTGCCTGAGGTGATGGATAACAGCTGAAGCAAACAACATACTACCCAAAAGTTTAAAAGGAAAAGCCAAGGAATGAGACGTCCATTAGAGCTTTGAAAAGGTCCCACGTATTCCTGGGGACCTAGAAGGCCAGGTGTAGGCACTGGGCTGTGCACACACCAGGGAAAGGCCTGAGACAGCCTGAACTCTCACCTCTGGCTGGCCTTGAGGCCCAGCACAAGTAGGTAGTGAGGGCTAAGGCAGAGTTTCTGGTACCTGGCTAAATGTCAAAAGCGTGCCCCCAAATGCCTACAAACCCCTCAGCAAAGACTGTGTGTTTTCTCCAGGTGTTTAAGGAAACCTCTGTCTAGTTACTAGCTGACCACTAAGCTAACTGAGCAGAGACGTTAGTGGCCTCCCATGACAAAGAATATAGATTTTACAAAATCAGTTCAGAAAACCACCTGACAAACAATAGCAATAAACAAAATCCTACAGTGGAGAGAGATTCTGACTTCCAGAGTTAACACGTTATTTTATTTGAAATATTCATTTTTCAATAAAAAAATTACAAAATGTGAAGAAACAAGAAAGTATAGTATGACCTTTACATGTTATTGGTGGGGGAATGTAAAATGGTGTAGCTGCTTTGGAAAACAGTCTGGTGGTTCCTCAAAAAGTAAAAACTGACCATCGACTCCATTCCTAGGTATATAGCCAAGAGAAGTGAAAACTTAAGTCCACAGAAAAACTTGTACATAAATGTTCACAGCAGCATTATTCACAACAACTCAAAGTGGAAACAATTCAGATGTCCATCAGTGGACAAGTGGATAAACAAAATATGTCTACCCACACAATGGATCATTACTCAGGCATAAAGAGAAATGAAGTTTTAACACATGCTACAATGTGGAATCTTGGAAACATTCTGCTGAGTGCAGGAAGCAGGTCACAAAGGCCACATGTCTGATTCCATTTATGTGAAATGTCCAGAGTGGGCAAATCCATAGGGACAGAAAGCAGACTAGTGGTTGCCAGGGGTTGGGGAGGCAGGGAATGGGCAGTGACTGCTAATGGTACAAGGTTTCATTTTGGGGGTGAAAATGTTCTGGAATTAGGTAGTGGAGACTGACGGCTGCACAACTGTGAATATACTAAAACTCCCTGAATCGTACCCTTTAAAAGGGTGCATTTTATGGTGTATAAATTTTATGTCAATTAAAAGCAAGATTTGGGGTAGGGGAAGGAAGAAAAGGCTAAAGTCCTGGATGTTCCAACATTTTGAGGCTGAAGAGAAAAGGAAGAATCAGCAAAGCAAGATAAAGAAGACCAGGTGCGGTGGTGTCTCAGAGCCACCAGAAGAGTGAAGTGACAGTTGTTCTTAGGATTCAGCAGTACTGGGTCCCTGCTGACCTGCTTCTGTAGAATGGACATGAGAAAGAATTAGAAACAGGGATGCCTGGGTGGCTTAGTCGGTTCAGTTGATTAAGCGTCTGACTCTTGGTTTCAGCTCAGGTCATGATCTCGCAGTTCACGGGTTCAAGCCCTCCATCAGGCTCTGCAATGGCAGCACGGAGGCTGCTTGGGATTCTCTCTCCCTCTCTC